TAAAATGACCAAAACAAAACGTGTAACGTCCATGTCACATCTATGCCAGTAGTTGTTGGAAGCACTAAGCTCGAAGTTGTTGACGCGTATGTTTATCTGGGACAATAGTCCGACTAGGTAACAAGTCCAATTTCGACCGAGAGGTCAATCGACGGATTCAACTCAGCTACCACCGTTCGGGAGATTACGTCAGGTCTTCTCATCAGATATACCTCAAAACTTGATTGTACTAAGACGAGATGGTACAACCAGTGGGTGTTGCCAGTGATGAGACGGTGCCATTCACTGCTGGCCGTATGAGGAAGCTCAAAGTCACTCAGCGAGTTATGGGTTAGAGATAGAATTTAGGTTATCCGCAGTAGAACCAGAGTAACCGACATAGCCCAAAGTTATTAAAAAAAATTAATTAATCAAAATTAGTAAGCTGAAGTGGCAATGGGTCGGCCATATAGTTCGAAGAACTAACAACCGATGGGGAAGCAAGGTTCTGGAGTGGCAGCCTCGTACCGGTAGTTGAAGTGTGGGGCGGCCCCTCATTAGATGGAGTGACGACCCGGTAAGACATGCAGGAAGTCGATGAATGCAGGTGGCTAAGGACTGTGCTTTGTGACATTCTTTGGGGGAGGCCTATGCTCAACAGTGGACTTGCGAAGGGCTGTAATGATGATGAATGACGATATTAACGTACTCTTTGCGTGGTAGAACCAAGTAATGATTATGCGCTGAAATTTGTCGGCTTGACCGGGGAAGGACCACGCTCACACTGAATACCAGCTTAAAATAATAGCCTGATGTTTTGTATGATGAATGTGGAGAACCGAAAACCTTTTTACAGGCAACTTACTATATAACGTCACCCACAGTATCAAGTTCTCGCCGTGGTTAAAATCAATAGCAGTAGAAGCGACAGTGATCTCATGCGGAACCTCGCCAGAAGTCGGAATAACGAAATTGCTTTATATCTTGAAACACGGAGAACATGTAACCACTACCACTTCCTACTATATATAATAGGATATATATAAAGGCAAGTCCTTTAGCTTTGGCTATCCTCCAGTATCGTACTACACGGCAAAAAGATGCACCAGAAAAGCTGTACCAGAGCTATATACGGTTAAACCCTAATCTTCAGTTGATACACTATTGATTATTCTGATCCCAGATTAATTAATTACCCCGTGACCAATGGTGCTGTTAACTCAAACGTCGAACATTAAAAACAAGTTAAGTGTATTTTAAAGTAATAATTTGAAATCATTAATCAGATCCCATTAGAGAGTTCCTCACTGATAGATCTCACTCCCGGAGTTATTAAGGAAAATAGGCACAATCAAGCACACGACGAGGTCAGCCGATTTAAAACACCAATGCAAATCTCAAAATGGGAATACACTATGGTGTCAGAATTTAGACTGTAAACCAATGGTTGTAAAGAGTTTCGGAGCCAGACGAAGCCATGATAGCATTCAACCAGCACGTGAAAAACATACCTTCAGACCAATGCCCTTATGTTTTCAAAAATGGTTTAAACCAAAGACATTTAAGTAGTAGTAAAAGACCGGGCATCAGCAACAAAATTGTCACCTCTTACTTATGTCCTATAGGATATATTTCGGATTTGTGTCATTTAGTCTTAGTGACATCGTCAAAAGCTCAAGACGCATTCATTTCCTGAGTTTAAAAAATATTGTTTTATAGAAATTATGCCCGATTGTGCATTAAGGTATTGTAAGTCCCGATATGAAGCAAAAACTGAATGTGATTTCGGTTTATTATCGCAAGAATAATGTATATTTACCCAATAATTTTTAAATTTTATTATTTCTGGTAGATTGTTCTAGAACATTTATCATTATTGTAATAAGCGCCCTCTGTTATCCAGTAACGTCATGATTTCTTTACCAAAGAGTTAGTGATTGACAACGTTTATCAATTATTGTTATCGATAAAAAATATTATACCGGATGCCAATTTAATCATCTACAATATTTAAGGAGGTGAAACAGTAAAAGATACTGTACCGGTTCCAATAAACAAATCAGCTGGGCCTGTGTCGGGGCACACGGTCGTTTGTTTTAACATGAAACATCTATGTCAGCAATTACAACCAGTACAACCAGTCAACAAGATAGCCTTTTTTAATTTTTTATATAATTCTACAACACTAGGAGAATTGCAGATGCGTTGCCGGCTTTTTAAAAAGGAGTAAGCTCGTTTCTTGAAGGTCCATAAGTCGTATCGGTCCATAAAAATTGCCGTCGGTAAACGATTCCGAAGAAAACTCGTAATAAATCGCACGATAGTGGACCGCCAAGTATATAAATGATGTGGATCGTAACGTAAGTTTTGTCACGATGTGTTTTGGTGAAATTTGGTGTCTGGAATTAATCCGAACAATTCCTCAGAGCACTGCCCGTGTTAAATACAACAGAAGATCGAGTCAATTAAAGAGAACTTGGTCGTCAACTATTCGGGCCGCTCAGCTCTGCAGTCAAGTGGAAGGAGTTCGCACTGGGGAGCCCCGGCCCAGAGATGAGAAAAGTATTCCATGTGAGGCCAAATCTGCGCTTATAAAGTTGAAAACGGTTGCTTTTTTGTTCACGGTAGTGTCCCACTCTACTGAGTACACCAACCTTTTTAGAAGCCAATTTAGCTTTCTTTTCCAAGTAACCGTGCTACTGCAGGTCATTCGATATGTCGACGCGGAAGATTCCATTATTGGCTACGGCAACAAGGGAAGTGTTCTGAAATTGAGGAGATATGACAAAAGTGTTCTTTTTAACGGTAACCGCGCAAGCTTGTGAATTTGTATAATAATTTATTTTGTTCCTTTAAGTTCAATGCTTTCCTAAAATATGTTAGATTTGAGTTTATTTTTGTAAAAGAAACGAGTTTGAAAAACACGGAGGCGCTCTCTTATTGGATTTGACGTTTCGCGATGTGCCTTCGACGCCGACCGACCAATCATATGCTATTACTATAGCGTCTAATAGACCTAGTAACGTCATCCAGGATGCTACCAATGTGACTGTTGTTTGAATTGATTCATAGTTATTGGAAATTAAATATTATATTTCATGACATTTCATTTTATTCATGACGTTATTCATAACTTAAAACGTTTAAATAAATTTTTTCGGTGTAATAGGAGTCATTGTAATTAGATTTATACAATAAAAAGCATGCATATGCATAGCATATTCCCTATTATTATATCGTAAAGCATTACAAACTTAGTAACCTTCAATAACATTATCGATACTTTGATTTCGAAACGGTAACATTTCTAAAACGGGTTTTTACCCTACATTTAGTAGCGTCACTTACTGGGGAATAGCTGAAATGTTTTCCAAATAAATATTCTGCGTAGTTTTGCTATGTTTAGCTAGAGGGCGTGATACACGCGCGAGCTAAAAGTTTTTGTATGAAAACCTTATCTATATCCGCTCTATAGTATACCTATATATTTAAATCTCTTTCGTTTAAACGAATGAAAAAGTGTTTAGAATGTAGAGAATACTTTGAAAATCAGTAAATATATTAGTTTACTTCGAAATTATTTTATTAGTGTTACGCTCTCAGTTTTCTCCACGCATTATAGTTCGAGTTCGTTAAAACCAAAGACATTTAAGTAGTAGTAGTAATAGACCGGACATCAGCAACAAAATAGTCACCTCCTAGTTATGTCCTATAGGACATATTTCGAATTTGTGTCATTTAGTTTTAGTGACATCGTCAAAAGCTCAAATCGCATTCCTTTCCTAAATTAAAAATATATTCAAAGAAAATATGCCCGATAGTGTATTAAGGTATTGTAAGTCCCGATATGTAGCAATAACTGAATGTGATTCCGGTTTATTATCGCAAGTATAATGTATATTTACCCCATATTTTTTAAATATTCTTATTTCTGGTAGATTGTTCTAGAACATTTATCATCAGTGTAATAAGCACCCTCTGTTATCTAGTAACACGCCAAATGAGTTAGTGATTGACAACGTTTATCGATTGATGTTATCGATAAAAAATATTATACAGGATGCAGATTTAATCATCTACAATATTTAAAGAGGTGAAACAGTAAACGATACTGTATCCATACCAATAAAGAAATCGGGTGGGCCTATGTCAAGGCACACGGCCGTTGGTTTTAACGTGAAAGGTCTATGTCAGCCAGTACAACAAGTGAACAAGATAGCCTTCTTTTTTAAATTTTAATATAATTCTACAACACTAGGAGAATTGCAAATGCCTTTCCGTCCTTTTGAAAAGGTGTAAGCTCGTTTCTTGAAAGTCCCTAACGACTTAACTTTGTTCATCATATTTATCATGTTTATGATTATGTGAAGTGTTATATCATCTTTTCAGTCTGTATTCGTTCACAGTGCTCGGTACTTGTACCTTCTTAGGTTTATTATCGCTTTAAAACTAGATTTGGTATGTAGACCTATGTTATCGGTTGGTTACACCGCCATTAATTTAGAGAGAGGAAATAAACGGGAGATAGGAAAAGGATCCGGTGAAAGTGGAGGATATTATGGCAATAGAGTAGGAAAACTTTTTCAGTATCATCATTAGTTAGTTCAAAGAACCGGAATTGTATACCCTTCATATTCCGTGAAACCTACCTATATACTGGCGTGAGAAAAACTTAAGTATATTTTTATTTTTCAGTCTGTTTTTGATACTTTTTCTTTCTATTAGTTTTATATTTATATTCTAACCGGCGTAAAAACGAAGAAATAAACTCTGCTCAATTCGAATGTGTGTTTTTTTTATGTGTCTTACCTTATAAATTTTTTCTAAGTGAACTGATTTCGAAGATTCTTTTTTTATTTGAAAGTTGGTGCTTCTGATGCGGTCCCATATAAATTTGATCAATATGGACAGTGGTATTAGAGTTATCCTTAATAATCTATATTGAAGTCGGTTGTGCCTACAATATTTTTAATTTTACCACTTGTTTTAAGAAAATGTTTTTAATAAACGTCTATTACTAGGTGTTACGTCCGAGGAGACAGCGGAGGTGTCAGAGATATGCTGCACCCACGGGAAGTACCAGGCGATGGGTATGGCATCGCCGCAAGCCTGCTCAGGTGTCACCTCCCCAGAAGATGTCGAAAGGGAATTCCTCGACACATGTGTTGCATCTGCGAAAAGTTGTTGTGAGGAGCAGTTTTTGTAAGTACACATAAGTACACATATCTACCAATGAATGATTTACATAGTACTAGCTAGTCCGGCAGATTTACTCTTTCCCTTTTTGGTAGGTGGGGGGAAGAGTTTCATCCCGAGTTCACTCCCGATTTTTTACAGTGTAATTATATAACATTCATTCGTTACTAACTCGACTTCGGCACTTTTTATAAATAGGAAATCTTTAAGGATACCGTTCGATGTGGGGGCAACGAAAAGGTTATGCCAGAACTCTACCGACTAAAACCTTATGGTGGACACCATCAGCATAGACTAGTTTGCTATACCGACGATACGTTGGTGGTCGCACACAGCGGCACTAAACATTGCCATTACTTAATATTGTGAAGTCTAGACATTATGTTGATTTAGGTCCATGTTATTCATGGTATTTATTAAAGAATTTGTAAATAACTTGACTAAAACGCATTTTAGACAATAAAGTAAAAAATTTAAGTTACAGCCTATATATGGCCCACTCCTGAGCACAGGCCTCCTCTCAGAGAAATGATTCTCAGAGGGTTTTAGGACACGAAAATGTTTGCCGCGCTACCCCAGTGCCTTTTGGCGGACTTCACATTCAGAATTTTAAATTCACATTTAGAATTTTATGTAAATTTCACAGACATGCAGACGTCCTCACGATGTTTTTTTTTCACCGCAGAGCACTTACATCTGCAATTAACAATTTTATTCGTGCCGGCGGGGATCGGACCCATGTCGCTCGCGTATTATGACACTTACGGCGAGCGTTATGCCCCTGAGCTACCACGGCTCTATGATATATCTATGGACCATCGTCTCGACAAAATAAATATGAATATGATAAATAATAAAAAAGTAAATATAACGTTAATCGGTCAAGTCGTTCAGGAGTTACACGATCAGTTAGTGACGCACAAACGATTATAATCTTTATATATAAAAATTACGTGTCACGTTGTTTGTCCGCGATGAACTTCTAAACTACTGAACTGATTTCAATGAAATTTTGCACACTATGTGCAGTTCGGTCCAACTTGAGAGATGTGACACTCAAAATTTTTTTTACGAATTTAAGGATTTTTTATATGAAGGGTCGTCGAAAAGGGCAGAACAACGTCTGTTTGGCCAGCTAGTAGGTATATAAAGGTATAATGCTTTTAAATCAACGCAAATAATAGCAAAGGTTTTCAACAACGAAACTTGTTTGGTTGCGAAGTTGGTCAGATTCAGATTATTTCGGTTCTTTAAATGTATAGTCCACTGCTAGTCATAGGTCTCTTGCATTGTAGGTAGTGTTGCCAGGTGTCCCGATTTGTGCGGGACGTCCCGATTTTCGGCGGACTGTTGACAGGTCCCGATTCACCCTTGATCGGGACGCCAAATGTACCGAATTTTCACTAAACTTAGTTTGTACTTTGATCAATAATTTTGACAGAAAAATGAATACATATGTAAGCTACTAATTACTACATTATTGCTTTGAAATTCTCATATTTTCTCACATAACTCGAACTAAATGGGCGATTGAGAATAACTCATTGCGGCCGAAAAGACTACAAAAACCTTGTTTTTTTTGTAGCCATTGCAGCTGTCTCGATTTGAAAACCAAATTCCCGATTATTTTCACCTTTCGTGCCGAAATTTAACACACTGGATCTGGCAACACTAATTGTAGGAGGAATTAGTTTGGCCATGCTTGTCAGGCGGATCACAGTAACAGCACATAGATATGTGGTAGAGCCACGCTGCAGCTATATTATGGTTGCAGCATGACTGGGTCGACTCGACCGGGTAAGGACCACGCTCTTACAAAATACCAGCGTAAAATAACGCTTAATTCTGCTGTTCCATATTGTGAGTGTAGAGAACAGGATACCCTTTTTACTGTAATCGAGGCATTCCTCCTTAGTCCTCAGAGGTGACAATGCAATTTTGATTTCTAATCGGGGGTAGATGTAGACGTCTATGGGTCAGCATTCACTTACCAACAGGCGGAGTGTGTGTGTGTGTGTGTGTGTGTGTGTGTGTGTGTGTGTGCAACGGGTTACCCGTTGCCGTTATGGATATTTTACATATGTTATGGTCATATCACCATTTATTGGCGATCTCTTCTCTGGTGGATACTTCTAGTATTTCAAACATCCGACGTAGACGGGATGAAATGGTATGACAGATTTTCTTAGGCCGTCACCACACAGCTTTCACTTCTGACTAATGTAAAAATTTAAGTGTATAATGATTTCTTATATTTATGCGAACACTACACATTGAATAAAACTACTTTTACGGATTCTATAATAATTAAAAAAGCTGAAGGTACTGTAAAGTACCCGAAACCTCGGGAATAAATAAAAAACAATTTAATTAAACGCGATAGAATCCGTAAAAGTACTTTTATTCAATTTAAGTGTATTTTATAAAACCTTTATTATTTTAGGGAAAAAGACGATTGTATAGCTGGTATAAAAATGGCGCCAAAGAAGCAATGTGCTATACCTAAAACCGACATTGGAAAGGTATGTATTGAAAAGTATATCTATCTACAAATAAAAAAAAAATTAAGTGTCTGCTTGTATTGTGAAAATAACATATTTTTACTAAATGCATTATGAAAGTATATACGGTACTTATAACAAAATACACAATTTTAAAAATTGTTTGTCTGTCTGCCTGTTTGTTCCGGCTAATTCCGAAATGGTTGAACCGATTTTGACGGAACCTACACTGGCAGATAGATAGCTGATGTCACTTATGACATCAGCTATCTATTTTTTTTTTTTTTCTTTTTTTTTTTTTTTTTGCTGTGGCAACCCTGGTTATAAGTTGTAAAAATAATTGGTCCCGATAAATTTTAATAATTTAAATATTGTAAATTCACCATATCCACCTCAATTTTATGTTATAGCTAATAATTACTGCCGCTTTGTATTTAATGTTTAAGAAAGTTGGTACATAAATATTATAACAACAATTTGGTGTTGGAACAAAAAGTGACAGGTAACGAACATTGTTTTAAAAATTATTGTAATCCTTATTTCATATCATTCCTTTTATAAATTAAAGATTTATTCTATTACTCGGGTTATTACATTCTTTGCGGGTTTCTTTTCGAATTGTTTTAACGATAATTTGATTTGAGACTTGTAAATAGAAAAAAAAAACAACAACTTTAGCTTACTCTGCTCCTTCTGTTTTCGATCTTTGTTTTCTTTTATTATTTATAATAAATAGTAAAATGAATACTCGCACCGCCAAGACGCGCCAGATGGAGAACCAACTCCAGCTTGCGCTCCAAGAACTTAAGGCGTCCAGGGAGCAGTGTGAACTGTTGCTTAAGGAAAGGGATGATAATGAAAGGGAAATAGTTAGCATAATTGCCAAAAATACACAATTGAAATGTGATATGGTTAAGCTACATACAGAATACACAAGTGTTATAAAAGAAAGAGATCAGCTACAGGGAACGGTTAATGAGTTTGATCAATGCAGCAAGGAATATGAGGAAGCTCTCAGGTTAATTGCTGCATTGAAGTTACAGTTGAATGAGGCTAATGAGCAAATAACACAATTTAAAACATATATAGATAACCTTAAAGCCTCCCAGACTCAAAGCCTGTTCTCTGAGCTTGTGCAATGTGATACTTCAAGAATGTTACAGCAATCTGCAACAATAGACTTGACTGGTGACGACTCTTCCACTTCAGGAAATACAGTAAGGATTAATTGCAGTAAAACCAAATTGAAGAAGTATATAAAAGTTAATAAATACATAAGGAAAGTACAAAAATTAATAAGAAATAAGATTAATACCAAAAATTATGTTAATGTATGTAAAGAAAAGCAAGCATTGTTATATGAACTTAAGTTGTATTCAATTGAGGTGGATAACATAAAAAAATGTTATGAGACTGAAATAGAGTGCCTTAAATCAGAAATATTGTCACTTATGAACTCCCTTCAAACTGTGTCCAATAAATATAAATCAGCCCAAAATGAAATAAAAGAACACATATTGGCTATGGATAATCTGGTAAAGACTTGTAAATATAATGAGGAGCGGTTTGACTCCTTAGTTAAATATCAATGTGAGTGTCAGCGCTCAATGCCAGATTCTTCAAAGTCAGTGTGTGCTGATAATATTATACCACCACAAAAACTCTATGACAGTGCCATAGCAGAGGATATTAAAGTAATAAATAACTCAAATATTACTAAAAATAATATAATTGTTTATAGCGATGACATGGGAAAAAATCTAGGCATAACTTTAAATAACTCTTTAAAGGGACAAAAAGTTACAAATTGCTGCATGCCTGGAGCATCTTTTAGTGACATCCTAAATAAAATTATTGTTACTAAATTTTGCCCAAATAGTACAATAATAATTTTTGTTGGTAGAAGAGGCAGTGTCAACAACAAACAGTTATTAAGATATATTGAACAACTTAATAACTTAAATGTACACAAAATTGTCTTGTTCACACTGCCTTATATACAGGGATTGCCACAAGAAAATAATTTAAGACATAATTTAAATATACAAATGCATAATTTAATATGTAATAATAATTTAAATTTGACATATAATTCTAATGATAATAATCATAAATTTCATGTAATTGACATAAATAATTTAATAAAAAAGTTTTGGACAAAAGATAGGTATTACCTATCCAAATATAATTTAAGACTGATAGCAAATGTGCTATCTTATTATTTACTTTTTAACTCAGCCAAGTTTTTGGCTACCAAGACTGCTTTTATTGAGCATAATCATTTGACATTTAATTTGGAATCAGTTCCAACTAATTTAAATTAGTGAATGTGACAATAGAGGCAATCTCTAGCAATAATAAGAGTTTAATTAATTTTGAATACAGCCCACAAATAAGTAATAAAAATTGTTTACACCTGGTGCATCAAAATATACAAGGCATGTTGGGCAAAGAATTGGAAGTTGAATTGTTTTTAAATAGTAACAATATACACATCCTTTGTATTACTGAACATTGGCTAAAAGATTATAATTTCATGTTTAATTTCAGAAATCACCAGGTGGTCAGTTCCTTCAATAGAGAAAAAAGTTTACGTGGTGGCTCCTTAATATTAGCAGATAAATCATTATTATATAAAGAACGTAAGGATATTGTGAGCCTCTCTGTTGAACGAACTGTAGAAATGGCTTGTGTCGAGCTCGAGCACCTCATTGTTGTAAGTGTTTACAGACCCCCATGTGCTACTTATGACCATTTTGAAAGGATTGTGGAAGAAGTTTTACTCAAACTTAGTAAACAGAACAAGTCTGTTGTAATGTGTGGAGACTTTAATATCAATCTCCTTGAAACTTCTTCCATTAGTATTAAGTTTAGCTCATTGTTTAAATCGTATAATCTTGTAAATTTATTCTTAGAACCAACACGTATTGCTGGGCCTAGTGCGACCTGTATAGACAACATTTTTACAGATGTTAAGCCCTTGCATAAATCAATTATTCAAAATTTAAGTTCAGATCACTGTGGACAGTTAGTATCACTACCTTACATACACAAAAAACAGAAAAATAAGAAAGTTGTGTTTGTTCCAATAAATGAACATCGCTTGGAGAGGTTTAGAAGTAATATAATAAAAAGACTTCCATCACTTTCGTTTAAAAATAGTGCTAATTATTTGTATGCTACATTATTTGAAATTATACGTTGTGAATTTAGTAGAATATTTACTTCTAAAACTTTCTCTTTTAACAGTCGCAAATCCTTTAATGAATGGGCGACAGTAGGAATTTATAAAAGTAGGCGAAGGTTATACGAGCTTTATGATGAAAGATCATATAATAGTAGTGTTATATTTAGAGATTATGTAAAAACATATTCTAAAATATTTAAAAAAGTGTGCTCCACTGCTAAGGCTTTACATTTAAGCAACAAAATTAAAACTGCATCCGACAAAATTAAAATGACCTGGAGAATAATAAATAGTGAAACGGGCAAGGTCAAACCGCGCAACTCGGATTTTCAATTGAATATTAACAATAATTTAACGCGATCTGATCAAGAAGTTGCTATGGCTTTTGAGAAACATTTTACTGATGTTCCTTTTTTGACAACAAAATCATTAAATTCTTCTCCTACTGTCGCCGAATCATTGCTCAAACAAAATGTAAAGGCTTGTTCACATACTTTTAAATTCCATAGGGTACTGCCAAAAGATATCGTTAAATATTTTAAAACTATTGATGTTAAGAAAACGGCAGACTTATGGGGGATTTCCGTTAAAGTTATTTTATCTATAATAGATACATTAGCACCTTATCTAGCCACTATATTTAATATAAGCGTCGAATCTGGTGTGTTTCCTGATTTAATGAAACATAGTAAAGTCATACCTATATTTAAATCTGGTAGTACATTAGACCCCGCCAATTTTAGACCAATTTCTGTACTACCAACATTAAGTAAAATTTTTGAAAAAATTATTTTAGATCAGATGTTAAGTTTCTTTAATATTAATAAATTGCTACATAATAATCAATTCGGTTTTACAAGGGGTCGCTCGACAACTGACGCTGGAGTTGAGCTTATTAAACATATTTTTTGTGCATGGGAGAATTCAGAGGATGCTTTGGGTATATTTTGTGACCTTTCCAAGGCCTTCGACTGTGTTCACCATGAGACATTAATCAGGAAGCTACAGTACTATGGTGTCAAGAACACAGCGCTTAAACTTATTATTTCATATTTAAGTAATAGAAAACAGAAGGTTATTATCAATGGTAAAAGTTCTTCCGGGTCACCTGTACTAATGGGTGTACCTCAGGGCTCGATTCTCGGCCCATTCCTGTTTCTGGTGTATATTAATGACTTACCTCACCTTGTAGGGGATAGTCATGATATAGTATTATTTGCTGATGATACTTCTTTGATTTTTAAACTTAAACGTCAATCATTTAAATGTGACGAAGTGAATAATGCTATATCAAAATTAGTGCATTGGTTTAACGTTAATAATCTGCATTTGAACGGAAATAAAACTAATTGTGTTAAATTTACAACAACGAATGTTCAAAATCTGAATACCAATGTGTTTTTAAATGGGGAGGAATTGAGCCCTGTTGTATCCACTGTTTTTCTTGGCATCACTCTTGACGCAAAGCTCCAGTGGGGCCCCCATATATCCAAACTAGCAAGCAGACTAAGTTCTGCAGCCTATGCTGTAAAAAAGATTAGAGGTCTCACTAGTGTCGAGACAGCTAGATTAGTTTATTTTAGTTATTTTCATAGCATAATGTCTTATGGGATTTTACTATGGGGAAATGCGGCTGATTCAGAAACTATTTTTGTTTTACAGAAGAGGGCCATTAGAGCTATTTACAATCTAAAACCAAGAGAGTCTCTTAGAGATAAATTTAAAGAAATTAATATATTAACTTTGGCCTCTCAGTATATTTACGAAAATTTAATGTATGTTCACAAAAACAAAGATAGTTTTAGTAAAAGAAGTGATATACATTCTGTAAACACTAGGAACAAACACAAGCTAGTGATACCAGTTTCTCGACTCCACAGAGTCAGTAATTCATTCTTGGGGCAATGTATACGCTATTACAACAAGGTCCCGGAAAGTGTACAGGTTCTCTCTATTACCAAGTTTAAATGTTTTATTAAGCTGAAACTGTATAAAAAGGGTTATTATAGTATAAATGAATACATGGTTGATAATAACCCCTGGGAATGAGGTGATCGCTTCCAAGCAGTTTCTAAAATAAATTTTGTAAATAGTTCGTAATCATTTATATTGTAAAATTATTTAAAAAAAAAAGTCCCGCTGGGTTTCTTGCTGGTTCTTCCCAGGACAGAGGTCTTTTTTTCGAACCAGTGGTAAAGTAAAAAATGACTTTCAATAAGAATTACACATGTAATGTATATTGAATAAAAAAATATTCTATTCTATTCTATTCTACATCAGTTATCTATCTGTACTTACTAGAGTACTTTTTAGGGTAACTTAGGTTATTTTAATTATAGAAAAAAATTAGGGTTCCACGCGAAAAAATCAAAACCAATGAAATCCAACCGTAATAAATACCACGCGGACGAAGTCGCAGGGATCAGCTAGTATTTAAATAAATGAAGTATTTCTATACGAAACTCCTTAAACTCTATTAAAACGCTGTCAGCGTCCAAACAGGTGCCTGAGTAAAACTTTACGAAATTGTATACAATATTAATGTTTCGCATGTAGAATGTTATTTAATGTAAACATGCATTGTTTGTATTAAACGTGTTTCGTTAGAAACTTTGCGGTGGTATGCAGCAGCAAATGCTGGTCTAAGTAATTAATATTTGGCAAAGGTTTATTCGCCATTTTTGAGGCTATACAAACTACGATAAAAATTATTTGATTCTTACAACAGCCACGATAAGTTCCTTCTTTAGTAGCCCGTAAGTCTACCAGTAGGCTGGGCCTCTCCCATCACAGACAGAATTTGCCATAATTGGCACGCTTTGCAGATAGATTGTCTATTGCAGTACCACATGTCTCTTGCCTTTGACACTGCTCTTCGTCACTAGTCTGGGTATTTTATATCTATCTTGGCGCTAAATGATGGTACCATCTGTCGGGGGCTACGAGATTCTTCTGGCACTACCCATAGTTGCCACATACAACAACTTTAGGACGGAATGGGTCGGTGGATTCTCTTACGTTATCTCCACACGGCACAGAGTAAGTCAAAGGTAACGTATTCTCTTGGGTTGCCACATTTTATAAATAGTTTTGATAATACAATAGTAAATGTCACGCAAATGCTTATATAGGGTTATTTTTCAAGGAGTAGTCAAATTTTAAACTTAAATTCAAATATATAAATATACCGTTATTGCAGTTTTTGAAATTACGAATAAGTGATGCTTCTACTTTTATTTGAAATTATTCCAACAACATTCTTGCCTACCGATCGATCCTTACGAAGGTGTGCGTTCGCAGTAAAAATTAGTGAAAATAATGCATTATCACGAATGTTAAACTTAAAAGATAAAAAGGAGAAAATATTCGAGATTATTTTTAATAAATTTTTCTTCACCATTTGCCTATATCACTTATTCGAAACCTTCTCTGCAAATTTGGCTGGTTATTGCAAAATAATCATGTATGTTGCAGACATGTTGTGACGAATGTTCCTTCGGGAGATGGTCTGGCGAATCCCAGGGCAAGGAAGCATGTGGAAGTCCTGCCGAGGAGGGAATGAGCCCGCAAACAACGCTCCGTAAGAATGCTTTCTACCAGTGCTGTTTGGTGAGTGGTAACATATTTTTAAATATTTTGTTATAAACATAAAGTAACTAGTGTCAGAAATTATTCTCAAAACTATTTAAATTAAAGAACACTACTCGGTAACAAACTCTGCTTACTATCAGGACCCAATTACATGATAACACCAAGGTATGTAAACCAACAGCACGACCCCCATCTCAATGTAACACAGGGCAGCCTCTCAGCAACACGATCTTTCTTGCCTACACTAGTAGAATACCCCAACGGGTGTAATAACGATAGTGAGACTCGTAGAATTACCGACTGATACCTCTTAGTCTAAATTCTGTGATGTAAAGAGCCGCATAGCTCTTACAGCTTTATTGGATTCAGCGCTTACGGCCAGCAGGATTCATTGTATTTTGTGATCACATAATCATCACATCAACATCAAATACTCCTTGATGCCGTCGAAAATCATGACATGACATAGGTGAGTTGTCTAACCGCCGTCGGAACACGGATCGGACGATCGAACGGATCGGTGGCGGATCCCGGCTCTGACGGCTAACTCGTATCGTTCTATGTTCCGGGCGGTGAGAACCGCCCAGTGACGCGGGTGTACGGTGTATACGCGGTGTGTAGGGGTGTGCGGTGCGTCCGTCTGCGAACTCGCTGCGTCCCATCCGTTGTTGTCCTAACAGTCTTTGTGGCACTAGGTGATTGTGTAGTGTTAGTGTGTGACTGGCCGGCGACATTTCGGTCGTCGGAATCTAGGGGGTTCGATTAGAACTTTGCGGGGCCTTCGCAGGGTTGGAATGTGTCTTGGCGCTATTTGGAGAGGCTATTTATATCCTTGAAATATTCAGAGATGGTCGGGAGTTGACAGTCTCTGTGTAAGTCGGAGTTTCGTTCTTTGTAAAGATGGAGGTTGTGTCTTAAGGACAGTTTGCTCTTGCTGTGAACTAGCGGGTGGAGGCGGCTAGTGAAGAATTTTGCACGGTTGCGGACATTGCGAATGTGTTTCGCGAATGTCACACCGTGGTCGAATGTGACCCCTAGATATTTGGCCGTTGATTGCCTGGGGATCTGGCGGCCGTTCAGGGTGATCGTACCTATCACTTTTTTGGGGATTGTAAGGGGATCCTTTAAAAGTGTAGCAATACACTTTTCTCAGGATTCACTTAGATTCTCCATAAGCGGAACCAATCGCCTAAGCGATTGACGGCTGTTCGGAGGATCTTGGTGAGGATTGTTTTATGATGGGCGACGAAAAGTGCCGTGTCATCGGCGAAAAGGGCAGTACCTATTCACTAACGGATCTTTCGGGATTTCGCTGGTGTAGAGTAAAAGAGAAGCGGGGACAGGACGGAGCCCTGTGGGACTCCAGCTTTGAGGGGACGCTTTATAGAGCGAGTACCCTCTATTCGATAGCGAAAGTGGCGATTGGAATGGAAGGTTCTGATGATGTGGGTGAGCATATCTGACACGTTGAGTTTGTATAGCATGTAAAGCAAGCCGTCGTGTCTCACTTTGTCAAACGCTTTTGCGACGTCGAAGAAGAGGGCACCGGTTATGGTGGTTCTGCGACTTCTTTCTGGGAGGTTGAATCCTTTCAGAATGTATTCTGTGAGGTGATGTAATTGGTCGGTGCACGTTCGGTGTTCGGGTCTAAAGCTGAACTGCTCGTCTGGAAGAAGTTTGTTAGTGAAGAAGTGTTTACGAACGCGATTCAATATGAGTCGCTCGTAAAATTTCCCCAGTGTGCTGAGGAGACTAATTGGTCTGTAACTAGAGTCTAAGTTGCGCGGTTTCCCCTGTTTCGGGATTCCTATTACATCTGCCTCTTTTCATGCATCCGGGAAGGAGCAACTGGAAAGAAGAGCGTTGAATATGCCTACTAGGAGGCAAACGAGTGGCGCGGAGAGAGATCTCAGTAGCCTGTTGCTAATGCCATTGGGGCGGGTACTGATTTCTTTTTAAGGCTTTAATTACATATGTGACTTTGTCAACAGTCACAGGATCTAAGGGGGCGTCTATAGGTGGTAGTGCTGCCTTACGCTCGACCTCCGCTTCGACCTCTGCAAGGTGAGCGGGATCTGTAGGTTCGCTAGAAGGAGTATATTGGCCCTCTATACTATCGGCGAGGCATTCGGCCTTTTCAGAGTCGTCAAAGGCGACATCGGGTTTTCCTGGCCTAATGACAAATGGCATGGGTGAGGTTTGTTCTGCTTTCAGAGCTCGGGTCAACTGCCAGAAGGTAATTTGAGATGGCTCGATATCCAGCAGATTATTCCACTTATCATGTCTTAATTATCCAATGCGCTGTTTCACCTCGTTTTGGATGTTGCGAAGTCGAAATTTGTTGTCTATAGTACGTTAGGAATCGTACTGTCTTAGGGCCGCGTTCTTTTCTCTAATTAGCTGTTGACTATCACTCAGGAGCTTTCAGTATAGATTACCCGACACACGAATCTTACAAGAGCATATTCAACTTTAGAGGTGAGGTAGGCTGATAAGGCGCTAATCGCCTCATTGGCCTCCTCTGGCGTATCTATTTTATCTGGGATTTTGTCTAAATGCTGAGAGGTCGTAGACTCGAGTTTAACCTCAAGCTTACGACATTCAACGATGATTTTGGTCTGTAGGACCTCACCTGCGGGCCGGCCCAGCTGCATTAGGACTGGTCTATGGTCCGAGTTGAGTTCCTATCGACAGACGGACATATTTGAGTACTGCTACGTCGATGATGTCCGGTTTTTGAATGGTAGCGAATGGGTAGCGGGTTGGAGTCTCAGACGCGATAACATCTAAGTTTAGTCGCTCTAAACTAGATTGCTTGTAAGCGAATTCCAGGAGGAATCGTAGGAGGTGGAGGTCTCCAGCTATTAAGACACTGAATCCTAGATTAAATAATTCTACATCTGATTCGATTATGCGTTTAAGCAGCGGCGGTAGATACGCTGAAACTATGGTAAGTGGCGGATGGCCAGAGAGAGCTACTTTAGATACAGAGACTTCTATGTTAGTTAAGGGGGAGCGTCTATCGGTACGCAGTGCAAGGACCTTTAGTAGTAGATCAAGTTGCCGCCTCTACGGCTGCTCAACCTATCATTTCTAATTATGGTGTAGTTTGCGATCTTGGGATCGTGATGGCTAGGCTTCTAGAAGGTCTCTTGCACTAGCATAATGTCTACGTCGTGGTTACGCAGGAAGAGCGCAATCTCGTCTCTTTGATCTCTGAGGTCGTTCGCGTTAAAGAACGCGATAGTCAGAGACCGTGGTTGTGGCGGTGGAAGGAAGAAGGGGAGATCTCCCGCCGGGCAAGGTGTTCTGCCCGGGGAGCGGCCAACGCTCCGAGTGGTAGTTCGGAGCTATTCTATATATACTTCTTTAATTTCGGAACTTTGTTAGCGCGATTTAGGCTTCGATGTGTTTCGCTTGTGGCGCGACGACAGCGCCGCCACATCACCCCCCTGCTCAGATCGGAGGTCGATAGTGCAGTCCGATTGCCGGTGCGTCCTTAATGCCGGTGGGGAATGCATGCTGTATGCGTAAGGGCAAGTGACGCCGGTGCGAACGATATGCCGGTGTGTAATGCATGCCATACTACGCACGTGCAAGTGATGCCGGTGAGGACGATGAGCCGGAGCAAGTGCCAGGGATTGCCTTGTAGTCTGCGGTGAGTCGAGAAGAAGGCAAGTAATCTGCGAGAGTGCCGTGAAGCAGAGGCGAGCAGTAAGGCTCAGAGCCGTGCCGAACACTGTAGCGCAGAGAGTAGCTTGAAGGAACAGGAAGCATTATTATTCCAATGCTGCGATGAATCTTTGTAAAGCTAGATGGCTTGCAGAATGGGAAGACTGCAGACAATATCTGCTCGGGAGCGAATGAATGGGGTACTTGAGGATGATGACGAAGATTTGAAGTTGTAGTTTCCGAAGGTATATGGCGGATGGTGAATTAAACCACACATATACAGTTAATAGTTTATTACAATATACACAAGAGTAGAAGGAACACGAAGTAAGAGAATAGTCAAGACACATCTAATTAGCGAGAAGTACGAAACTATAAAAGTGGCGGCGCTGTCGTCGCGCCACATGGTTTAGTTCTGCCTAAAATTTGTACTGCCATTTTGATTTTTTATTGAGGTATTTAGGCGCACTGGAAAGACCAGATTGCGTCAATTAGTCCTATGTGTTCAATCGTGGCGTTGAGCTTATCCTGTGGGGTAGTGGCTCCACTGAGTTTGTGGGCCAAAGAGGATAATTCAGCAACGATAATGTTGATGATGAAGCCGCAGACTAGAGAGAAGTCAGCGGCGAAAGAAGACGAGCCTTGTGGGCCGGGCTTCGGTTTAGGGGCCTGGGGAGACGACACTGGCCGTGGGGTAACAAGTGCTGGAGACTATACTCAAGTCCGCGCTACTTCCTTCGCGGCCCTTTGGAACACCCGCGATAATTCGCTGGCTATCCCTCTTCGCGGCAATTGACACAGCTCGAGGGTTCAACCGTCTCGGGCGTACAGTGGCAGTTAGTGGTGCCGTGGTCACCTAGGTATTTGACGCACCTAGGTCTGGCGTAACAATTTCTGGCCGAGTGCCCGTACAATTGGTATCGGTGGCACTAGCCAACGATGTATTTGGAGGGACTACAACTGCAATCCCCGTTAGGTTGCAGATGCGCCGAACGTTAAAAATCTCCTTGTCTTGAAACTTGAAACGCTTTTTATCGATCTGGTGGTGCATCCTGTGCACCTTGGCCCGGGAGATTTTGGGCTTCGAGGTCGAGTCTCAAGCTCCGCAAGACCGCTGATAACCACACGAAGGTTACACTCCTCTGGGCGGGCGTATTTGTGGAAACTTACTTGCTGGGCGCGCAGGTGTTTTGTTACACTGCGGAATCCCTCGGTCGAGTTTATAAACATACGAATGCCCTGACCAGCGGTTTGCACCTTTGGGCTATAGATTTCTTTGGAGTCTGATACCTCTTAGTTGCCTGCGCGATACTTTATACTGCTATAACGGGTGGGAGATTACAGTTCTACCTACATTTGTTCGTATTTCTTTTATTTATTTTTACCCTTATTCCCAATACTAGGTATATAATTAATGTTTATATAACTATAATATAACTAGTATGGTCACTTACGGAACCGATACGTGGTCGTTCACTGCTGGCCGTATGGGAAAACTTAAAGCCACCGGACTATGGAGTAGACCTTGATCTTAGAGCTGTTCGCTTCTTTAGCAAAGCTATGTAATACAAAGCTACAATTTCTTGACTGTTTGAAATGATAGCCGCCCTTAGCTTGCTTGTACACGAAAGGGTCGGCTCGACCGGGGAGGGACCGTGTCAGAGAACTTATAATAGCAGCTCAATACTGCTTTATCGTATGATTCAGGTTATGTTGGTTACAAATACTTTTCAGATGAGTCTAAAGTGTATAGTTATATTTATTAAAGAAATATTCTTTGACCTATACTGAGAAAATATTTTGGCAACTAAGCGATTTAGACAGTTGTTAATACTCCTCAGTACACTCAGTGCATAGCTTTATGGGAGTGCGAGTGAGATAGGCTAATGGAGATGAATACTCACAATCATATGGAGCTATGGTAGCTCAGAGGAGCAGTAGAAACTCAGGGGCATGGCGTTCGCTGCATATTCTACAGTACACAAGCAACCCGGGGTCGATCCCCGCCGGCACCATCGAAATATTTAATTACAATTTCAAGTACTGATTTACAACGTGCTCGGCGGCGAAAGAAAACATCGTGAGGAAACCTGCATGTCTGAGCAATAAAAAATATATATCGAAGACATGTCAAGTACGCCAACGCATTGGAGAAGCGTTACGGCCACTTGCTTGCCTTAAAACTCTCTCAGAAGTGAGAGGAGGCCTGTTCCCAACAATGGGTCGTATATAGTCTGTACCTTCATTCATATGGGGCAGCTCCGTTGCACCACCATTCACGATTGTCGCCAACATGAACGGAATAAATCAACAAAGATAATTTAAAGATTTAACGAACGAAACAGGAAGTTTCCAACACACGAAATTTAATTCCGAACTTAAAATAGATTTAAATTTGCTGACTTAGAAAACTATATACACGGAAACCGTATCACGCTTGGATTATCGGTGAATGGCCGGCTTAAAATAAGACTTACGTAATTCCGTTTTTGTACAACTGATGAGCGACTTAGAATTGTCGATTTTAGGGAAGTTTTTTACGCGGTAGAGCAGTTATATTAATAGTATAGTTGTAGCACGAATGGGTCGACTCGACCGGGGAAGGACCACGCTCTCACAGAATACCGCCGTAAAATAGCAGCGTAATGCTTCTGTGGTTCGTATGGTGAGTGTAGAGAACCGGAGATCCTTTTTACTGGAAAAGCGGCATTCCATCTTTGTCTGTCTGTCTGTTTGTTTCGGGTAATCTCTGAAACGGCCGGACCGATTTTGACGGGACTTTCACTGGCAGATAGCTGATTTCATAAGGAGTAACTTAGGCTTACTTACTACTACTACTTACTTTTATTTTAGAAAAATAATTAGGGTTCCACACAAAAACATACAAACCCTAACACGCGAGCGAAGTCGCGGGGAACAGCTAGTGTTGATATAAAAATGTTGAATTTAGCTCATACCAATACCCAATTATTGTATTAAATGAGTCGCCAGACAGTAGCCTATTTAGTAGACCCATTTTACTGGAAAAGAAGCATTCTATCTTAGTCCTCACGGCTGACAACGCTGCATTTTAATTTCGAAGATAGATGGGCCACAGCAACCACTTACTATCAGGTCCATCTGATGGTAAGTGGTTGTTAAGTAAATGAGGGTGACAAACGTGCACACAGTCCACTGTGTGCACGTTTGTCACCCTCATTCTATAAAAAAGCCTTATTTTCCTCAGTCACCGCAAGTTCGAGTTTCACGAATTTCATCATGGAGATAAACACGACCAACTTTTAGAGTCATAACGAGTCATCGAACCAAAATCTTTTCACGTGAATTCCATTTTTGCCGTGGTTGGCAAATTTTACTTGTGACGAAAAGTAATTGATTTAAATTGACTTATCTATTACTTCCTTTTGAAATCATTGATAGTTTATATTTTAACCTAAAATTATAGTTTTAATCAATATAATGTGAGTTTCGAAATTGAAACATTTATGAGCGCATAACTTTTAGTGCAATCTATGTACTACACAACACTCAACAACTAAAGGTACTTCCATGCCAGCACACAAAGTTCATGGAAAGTTAGACAATCTTATTACATATGGTTTATTGAAATATCTTGCTTTTAGGAAGCAACAAAGGAACCTGAAACTACTACTGAGACGACAACAGAAAAGAAAATAGAGACAACTACAGAAAAGAAAATAGAGACAACTACAGAGAAGAAAATAGAGACAACTACAGAGAAGAAAAAGGAAAAGAAAAAAGAAAAATGCCAGAAGGACTCCTGTGATCACATCTGTAAAGATGACGACGGTAAAGTGAGGTGTCAGTGTCGAAAAGGATTTAGATTGCAGTCTGATAATAAAACTTGTAAAGGTGTGTACACATCGTAGCCTTTAATTATTTATCATGGTAGCCAAACATTGAAAAGTATTACGAAGTATGTATCTAATTCGAGAACATCTAAAACTCAAGTTAGTCTCGCTAAAACTCAAAAACAGCTCGACTAATTCTAATGAAATATTTTTTGTGTGTTGGATTGGGTTCCTAGATGGTTTAGATTCACATTTGGACCCAGTAGGTGAAGCTATTGTCGAGATCCATTTTTTTAATACTAGCAATGCTATTAACATTAAACTAATATTCCATTTAACCACTCCTGGTAAGCTTAAAATGCTTGTGTTTGGAGTGGTTCACGACAGTAGTCGAATTTTGGATTCGAACTCACGACCTTTTGAATTCGAGGTCCGCAGCCTGCCATTACACTACTGTCGCTTCTACTTCGCATTAATCAACGGTGAGAAGCCGGGGCGGGTCACTAGTATTATATGTTTATTAGTAGTTTTTTGTGGTAGGTACTTCCCTAGATGGTTCTTTTCTGCCTAGGATTCCGTGCAAATTAAAAACCTTTTGTGTTCCGGTCTTAAGTGTTAGAGAGCCAGATAATTACAAGAGCCATTCCATCTTAGTCCACAGGGCTGCCAACGCTGTAGCCTTGTTTGTTTGCAGTTGGCTGCTAGTGTCCATGGACTGCAGTAGCCACTTATAATCAGGTATACTGCAAGTTCCGTTTGTCACTTCTGTTTTATAAACCGCTCCATAAAGCAGTGATTAAACATATGGTCGCAGCACTGCTGGGCGGGTACGAACTCCGCGAAAAACGTGTGATTATATGTTGCTAAGTTTTTTTTTCTATTAATTATAATAATACCTGTAAGTGTTATACCTTTTTGGATAGCTGAAGAAACGTAGATATTTATAAGCACATCTGAAGCATACCTACCATAGACTTTTTTTAATATTCCTGAAAGAAAGAAAATACTTTTTACGAATTTATTATTATATATTCTTTTTCTAACCTTCAATCTACGAGTACGATCCAATTTGTTTAGTTACTTGCAATGTGGGTGTTGAGAATAATAAAAAATTGAAAAATCAAATAAATTAGAGACTAATTACAAATTAAATGGACAATAGATAAAAAAATAGTCTATTTTATAAAAAAACTTTAAAGTCCTGTATTAAAAAAACGGTTGAGTTTGGGGTATGGTGTTTGATAGTCAAATCAGTCAAAAACGATGCACACTACAACCCCTCAACGGATTTAGGTCGGCTTAACCTGTAACCCTGTATATAATTTATATATGGCCTACAAATAATTATTCCGGATTTGAATGTATGTACTTGTGCAATATAATTGTATGTTAACCGTCTCAACAATCCAGGAAATAATACTTCTGTGGGTTAACTTTCTTATTAAGAAAAAGAAAAAACAAATGAATGTATATATTACTTTTTACGAAACAGTGGCGTACAAAAAAGCATTGGGGAATACTGTAAAAAAGTAGCAGTTTACATCTGGATATAGACTTCTCACATAGCACGAAGGATTTGGCCTAGTAAGGCAGACTGGCGATCGAACAAGAAGTCGCCTCTTCATCAGGCCTGAGTTATATAAGTCTGATATATAAAACATGCTAATATCGCTTGCCATTGGAGTCTTTGAGATTTTTCATGCATTTCCCATAAACTTCTCTTACGACTCCCACGGGATTCTTTTATATCGCCAAGTAGGAAGCAGAGAACCAGAGAAACGTTTTATTGGTAAGGAAGTGTTCCATAGGGTATTTCTTTTAATACTAATTATTAGCATTTTTTAGATATCAACGAATGTAGAGAGAACTTAGAGGATTTGTGTACTGAAGAGGACACTGTTTGCCACAACACTGTTGGGTCGTTTAAGTGCGTGCCTATAAAGAAGAGGGATGTTAGTCTTAGTTGCCCGCCAGGCTTCAAGCGAAACGTACTTAATCAAGTATGCGATGGTGAGTTTGTAATATCGAATTGTACTTAGTTTCCACTTCTATTACCATCATCATTTATACGTTTCACCCATGGCAATATGCGTGTTTTTCTATCTAAAAAAATCAAAGTACAGATTGAATACGCTTTACTAATTGTATGAAAATTATAAATAATTACACAATTTATTTTATCCTTGCAAATTGTATAGCTACTGTACAGTCGCGGTGTAATCAACACATTATCCCATATCGTCCGGGAGGAACAATATGCATTGCAGATCTAAGATGTTTTTAAAAGTATAGTCCCTTTTATTAGGTCTTTGTTGCAGATTGACTCCTTTCGCCACCAACACTTTAAGGAGACCATCATCATTAATACAGCATCGCATAATAACATTAAACATAATTTGTTACATTTGCTAACCTATTTATATTAATATATTTGCTTTATCTTAATTTAATAGTAGGGAAACTAATGAGGTGATACTTATACAGGTGCACACATCAGTCCCTGGATTAAGCCTACTTACAAGAAGCAATTAACTACTTCTATTTTAAATCGCAGGAGGTATAGTAGATGGATGCAGGTGGCTTTGGATTGTGCTTTGTGGCATTCCTTGGTACAGGCCTATGTCCATAAGAGGACTAGTGAAGGGCTGTAATGATGATGACGTTGATTGAAAATCGCACTATGGTACCGTAATTGTAAAATTTGTAAATCAATCAAGGCTAGTTCAATTGTTATTGATATACAATTAAATGCCATATCTTTTTAAAACTCTTCCGCGTGTGAGCTGAACACATTTGTATAGTAAAATGTACTAATAACACTATTTAATTTATTTATAACATCCTAAACACAAGTAAGTAAGTAGTAAGTAAGAGCCATGGTAGCTCAGATGGTTAGCGCTCGCTGTAAGCTTCACAGTACTCGAGCAACCCGGGTTCGATCCCCGCCGGCACCAATGAAATTGTTAATTGCAATTTTAAGTGCTGATTTACCACGTGCTCGGCGGTGAAGTAAAACATCGTGAGGAAACCTGCATGTCTGAGAAATAAGAAAAAAATATATATTACGAAGACATGTGAAGTTCGCCAACACGCATTGGGGCAGCGCGGTGGACATTTCCATGCCCTACTCTCAGAAATGAGAGGAGGCCTGTTATCAGCAGTGGGACGTAAATAGGCTGCAACTTTACTTTACACTAGTAAAAAGCAAAGTTGTATACTTCTGCTCAAATTTCTGACAGTTATTGGAGCAGTTAAACCGTCTCGCTGCTCCTAAACGACGACATATTTTTCCCAGACATACAGGTTTCCCCTCGATGTTTTCCTTTACCGCCGAATATAATATTTAAAAAGTACCGTACTTTAATACTAAACACAAACTTAGGTAATAAACTCAAATTACGAAGATATAATTAATTACATATTTTTAGAATTCACACTCACATTTTTTAAAATGCAAACTAGGTACAACTTATAAAAAAAAAAATTGCGAATATATTTGAAAATTTAGCTTAGTTAATAATTTCTTTCAGACATTAATGAGTGTCAACTTCCTCGACCTCCGTGCCCAAAGTACCTATGCGAGAATACAATCGGTGGGTATAAATGTGCTGGAAAACCAGGCAAGCCTTTTGCGGAAGCTATTCCTGGTGTTACTACAGAAGCAGAGCCAACTACACCCACTACAAAGAATGACATATGCCCACCTGGTTTCAGGGCTGGGCCTGACGATGAATGCCTTGGTAAGTTTTAGTCTGCTTTGTTGCAGTTGGTATGCTAACTATACCAATTAGTTTTAGTAACTTACATCTTAATCACTATAAAGCAAGTATACGTGTACATTAATAATTAAAAATTAAAAATTTTGTACAACCGACTTCAATATAAATTTGAATTATTAAGAATAACTCAAAAAGACCTTGATCAAATTTATATGGAAACACATGTGAAGCACCAGATTTCAAATAAAAAAAGAATCATTGAAATCGGTTCACCCAGAAAGAAGTTATGAGGTAACACACATAAAAAAAAACATACAGTCGAATTGAGTATCTCCTCCTGTTTGAAGTCGGTAGAAAAATACTGTGCTAGTTCTATCACGAACTATTCGTTAGAGAGTACCATAGCCATTGCGGTGACTTAAGGGACTTTTTTAATTAGAAAGACTCTTATTAAACCATAGTTTAAACACTGGACTATAAATAAACAACGTTTTGTAAAAGACGGTTGGAGTTTTGAACATGTAGTTCAATCCTTTAAGTCATACTCCACTTTTTTGTAAAAGTCTATCAAATAATATTGTAGTAATGCAATTTTCACTATGGCATACCCTTTCAGTAACTACCTCTCTAAGATTTTTTTTTTGTAAGATATCCACTACCCCATATCATCCTATGGATGTCGTGAGAGGTGACAGAAGCAAATGAAAGAGGAGATGGGCAGCAGCGTCTTTATGATACAACTCAAAATAAAAAAAAAACTGCCGTTGCCGACGCGCTTGCTAAGCGTAACTACGGCAAACATCTCCTTAAGGATCTATGCTCAGCAGTGGACTTTTAATAGATTGCAATGATGATGATGATGAATGACAACTGAGTGGACATCCGGTTCGGTTTCTACACCAAAAGTTTTAGGCCCGATTATATGCCGAAATCAACATTTAAGAAAATATGCGCCCTACGAGATTTTTTTTCAACAATCCTTCTGATATTTAGCTGCAAGAAATTAATTTAAAAAAAACATCTCGCCTACTAAACAATTTTCAAACTTCGTAATAACCCTTTAGATATCGACGAGTGTGAGGAGCGGTTTGACGACTGCCAGCGTTTGTCGCAGCACTGCATCAACACACACGGCAGCTACTTCTGTCAGGACCACGTTTCCAAGCGTTGTGCACCAGGCTTCAAGGTCAACGCCGTTACTGGAATATGCGAAGGTACCAATCAATTTAACTCGATTGGACTTTGATCGATTCGGTTGTAGAGGTTTGTCCGGATACTGTTTACGTATATTTTACATCTACGGCTACAACCACGTGCAGCTGATTGCGATTGATTAAATTTATGAACGCTTAAATTTGTCAAAAATACGAAAGCACGTATCACAGTCCACCTGAAGGAAAGTGAACGCTGTGGCCCATAGACACCTACTGCATCTATTCTCGATAAACAATCAAAAAGTAGATGCGTTATTAACGACTAACATAGACGACTACTACCTGACGACTAAGATAGACGACTACTACCTGACGACTAAAATAGACGACTACTACCTGACGACTAAGATAGAATTCCTCATTACCAGTAAAAAGTGGTGTTTTACGTTAGTACTTTGTAAAAGCGTGATCCTTCCCCGGTTGGGTGCTGCAACTGCAACCATAATATAGTTGTAGCATGACTCTACCACGTTAATCGCTCTTCGTTAATTACATTATTATCAATAGCAAAGGTGCACTGCAGGACATGGAGCTACTCCGCCCATCCTTCCGAAATGGTACACTGCCATCTAACGGAAGCCATGAGAACTTTTTGACATTTTCCATAGCTGACTCTTGCGACATTCACTAGATAAAAATTTGATGAGTTAATTCTACGTCTTATCCAACAACGGCCAAAACTTCTTAGTGGTTTTATAAATTTTGCAGACATGGACGAATGTGAAGAGAGTTCTGAAGTATGCAAGCGCACCGAGGTGTGCGTCAATTTGCCCGGGGCTTACAACTGCAAGTCCAAGATCAGCACATTACCTCAGTAAAGTATTAGAAACATATTTTAGATATTTTTAATCTTTCAATCTATTAAAAATAGAATATTCTCGATAACCGCTACAAGTGAACTTAAAATGCTTGTGTTAGGTTAGGTATGGTTCACGAAAGTAGTTGAATGGCGGATTCGAACTGACGATTTCACGAGGGTGAAGTTTGCATACCCTTAAGTAATAAAACAGAATAGATAATAGTACAAGTAGTAAAAGGTACGAAATAGTACGGAAAATTTTGATGCATATTATCAGTAGCCAGTTTATAAAATAGATTACTTATATCGATGGTCTAGAACAAAAACGTATTAATTACAGAGACTGTAATTTTTAAGGAGAGCCGTTTATACATATATAAATCTTAAATTTACAAGCTTTGGTTTGGACCGAAAGTGATGGACTTACGGCTTTCCGATAAGTGCAGAAAAATTTTAATTTAAAATGTTTGGCATTAAGAAGTGTAAACCGCAAAATTTTACATTTAGCACGTTTGTCATCTAGACAATCGATATGTATGATATTAATAAACTAGTTCATCTAAAAAAAAAGTAGACCTGTGCTTTGCTACGGAGGCAGGGAAGACATGGCAAACGCTCTGTCCCGGCGAAAATATTCCACTGGAAGTTAACCAACAAAAACAGTGGGATATTCCATTGGTACAGAGCGTGCAGAAAGATTTGTTTCATAATTTCCATAGTGACCAAGATAAGGCACGCCGTCTAGCTGGTTCGATTAAGGAATCTAGTCACTGGTTACACGCTTTACCATCTACTTGATGGTCTCGGCATATTACTTGATGGGGAAAGCTTACGCATCGCCGTAAGAATCCGACTAGGAGCGGCGATTTGTCAATCCCATCAGTGACCCTGTGGTAGCAGCGTCGACAAGTTAGGGCTCCACGGACTTTTGTGTAAGAAAATTGCTGGTAGGTTTTCACGGCACGGTTCTTTGAACGATGTCATCCGAAGGGCTCTTGTCTCCATAAATGGTCCCTCGGTTTTAGAGCCTTGTGGAATATTCAGCGATGGCAGGAGACCCGAAGGTATGACATTGGTCCCTTGGGAGAGAGGTAAAACCCTAGTATGGAATGCTACTTGCGTAGACACTCTAGCGGCCTCTCATCTCAGGGGTACCTCGTTTAGAGTCGGGGCGGTATCAGAGGCAGCTGAACTGAGTAAGTGGCGCAAATATGAGTCTCTGAGAGATGACTACATATTTGTACCATTTGCTGTATAGACCATCGGTCCGTGGGGTCCACGTGCGGTGGAGTTCCTAAAGGAACTCCATCCGCGACTGGTCGTTGCAGCTGGTGATAAGAGGGCTGTTTCTTTTATCGCTCAAAGGCTAAGTGTAGCCATTCAGCAGGGAAACGCAGCCAGAGTTCTTGGCACGATACCGAGGGGAGATGGACTGTATTTTTTTATAGGAGAGGGGGCAAACGGCAATCCGAACAATTCATCAGAGCACTCCCCGTGGTGGTAAATGCGAAAGAAAATGCAAAGGGATGCAACATCTCTTCGCAGCGCCAATGAACCGAGCCGATCGGAAAGGCCTCGGTCGTTGACGATTCGAGCCACTCTGCGCTGGATGTGGTCAAGTGGAAGGAGCTGGCACTGGGGAGGCCCAGCCCAGTGATGGGAACAGTATTCATGTGAGGCCGAATCTACGCCTTGTAAAGTTGCAGGTGTTGTGCCGGCATGAAATACTGTCCTGCTCTGCTGAGCCTTTTAGAGGCCAATTTGGCCTTCTCTTCCAAGCGACCACGAAACTGCACGTCACTCGATCTGTCGACGCCGAGGATTCCGATACTGGCTGAGGCAACAAGGGGAGTGCAACTGAGGAGATACCACAAAGGGGTTCTTTTTAGCGGTAAACGCGCAAACTTGTGTCTTCTGAGGATTAAACTGGACTAGATTTAGTCGCCCCTAATCCGAGACTTTGTTCAGCAAAGACTCGACTTCAGACACAAGTTTGTTCCGGTACTCGGCAACGTTTTGCCGAGGAATATTGGCACGGCCAGTGTATAGAGCATCACCAGTGTTGTCATCCGCATAGCAATGAATGTTACCGGTTTGCAACATGTCATTGATATGCAAAAGAAACAGCGTTGGTGGTGTTCCACCAACGCTGTTTCTTTTGCAACGTTGTTTCTTTTGCAGCCTATTAACGCTGGTGTTCCACAAGCCAGCGTTAATAGGCTTGTAGTCGGAGCATGCACAGTCTACTACGACCTTGATGCTGCGATCAGCCAGAAAACTGGTGATCCAATTGCACAATTTCTCGGGAAGCCCATAGGAAGGAAGCTTCGAAAGAAGCTCTTTATGCCAAACCCGATCGAAGACCTTCGAAATGTCCAAACTAACCCCTTTGGACTCGATCGCCTGCGCCCGTCTATGTGTTAGGTAAACATGAAGATCTACCAGCTGATCGATCCCGACGTCAACCGTATTGGCGGTCACTAATCAGCTGGTGATCCTCAAGGTACCGCATGAGCTGGCAGTTTATAATAGATTCCATTATTTTGGAGAACAAGGAGGTGATGGCGATAGGCCTGTAGTTGGACGGGTCTGAGCGGTCGCCTTTTTAGGGATCGGGTGGACAAAAGCTGTCTTCCATGATTTCGGGATATGCCTAGGGAGTAGGAGTACCGGAAAAGATGCGTTAGAACCGGTGCCAACTCTGGAGCACACGTCTTCAGCACAATTGGAGGGATTCTGTCAGAACCACTCGACTTGTGGACGTCCAGGGAGAGGAGTGCTTTGCGAACCAAGCGCTGTAAGAACCGCACATCCGGCATGAAGCACTCACACCGCGGGATGGTCGGCGGTGTGTTCCCCCCGTCATCAAGAGCCGAATTGGGCACAAAAACGGAGCCTAAAAGGTCGCCTTTCTCTTTTGCGGCGTGGGCCAGTTAGTTGTCCTCCCTGTTTAGAGATGGTAGTGATGGCTTACAGAAATTCCCTTGGACAACCTTGGCGAAAGACCAGAATGCACGGGTTCCCGAAGGAAGGCGAACTAGTTTCTCGCCAATTCTGCCTATGTGCTCTGACTTTGCCTTGGCAATAACTCTTTGAAGGACCTGGAGGCGAAGTTATACTTCTATTTAAGCATGCTGGTGTTTACATCCCGAGCCGCCGAAGCCTCAGCCCAGGCCTGATAACACTCCTGCTTACTGTGTAATGCAGTCTTACAGGAGCGACCAAACCAAGACTGAGATCTGCCTCCGATGGGTACCACAGATGATGGAATAAATAGTTCCATTCCCTGCAGCATGACATCAGTGACGGAGTCTACAACAGCGCTGGGATCATCCGGCGAGAAGCTAACCTGCCCCCATGGGTAGTGTTACGGCTCTCAGTTGCCCGGACGGAAATCGACTGTATTAAGGCCCATCAGTAATACACTCGACGAGCAACCAGAGAGTTCGGGCCCAATCTGAGGCGACGACTGTCCCAAGGCTCGGTCAGGCCGTAGGTGTGTAAGTGCATGTAAAGTGGTGTTTAGTGGTGTGTATTATGGTTTACCTGACTGGACCGTTGAAATCCAAATCCAATCCTCCTTGACAGCGTGATTCAACGCTCCAGGGGACCCCTAATCTTCCCACCAACCAAGTGGAGGCCACACAACGTTGTGAACCCGAATCCAATAGAGCGCGATAACGGTCGCCACTCGGGTTGTACGCCTTCACTGAGACCGCCGGCAACAGAACAGTTTGACAAGTGGACTGTTGACGGCTTAAAGGCTCAGTGGAGGCGGCCGTGGTGGGAGCTAGGGCGGCAGCTAGCTATTGCTGTCTCCATCAAAGGGGGGACGGCGGTATCCCAGCCGCAGCCACTCAGCTAACGAGGGTGAGAAGGGTCTAGCTGACTGCTGAGTGGCCGTGAAGTTCCTCTCCACACGCTGAGGGAGGGCGACGACACCCCTGCCCCTGGGGGAACAACCCCCCGACTGGTTCGGGGAGGGACCCCTTTCAAACCCATGGGCACGGTGGCCGGCAGGCGAGCGCCGAGCGTTGCTCGACAGGGGGCGCGGCTGAGCGCCCCCGCCCGTGGGAATCGAGGGCGCGGCTGAGCGCCCCCGCCCGTGGGAGTCGAGGGCGCGGCAGAGCCCGGTGAGGAAGCGCCGGTCGCACCCAGGCACAAAACGGCATGGTGCTTGCATTGGCAATGCGGGCAGTCTCGCTGGAGGTGCCCTTCCAAACAAGAGTAGCACCAGCGCCGCTCCTTGGCGATAGTTCGCCTAGCCGGAACCGGCTTACCTAATAATTTCGGGCACGACGTCACACGGTGATCGGAGGCTCGGCAATAGGAACAGGGGGGCGCCTCCCTGGCCACTAGGCCACTGTAAGATGGTAGGGAGCGGCGCCCTCCCACGGAAGCTCCGATCGGCTTTAGGGGGGTTGACGACAACTTGCCCGGCGGATCCTGCCTCTCACTGGGCACGGCTTGTAAGTCGTCAACGGTGCCCGCCGCGTTCTCAATGTTCCGGCACTGCTCCTCCAAGAACCGCAGCAGATCACTAAAGGGCGGAATATAGGAGGCGCCGTCCCCGCCATACCTCTCCTCAAAATGCATCCTAAGGTCGAGAGGCAGGCGGGACAGCACGATGTGGAGCAACAAGAAGGACCATTCATCCACCGGCAAATCCAGCCGCCTCAACACATTATAGGCCACCAAGACCGGATTCAAGAGGTCCGGACGTAGCCTGGCCCGGTCCCTAAGCAGTAGGAGGCCTAGAAGCCGCCTGACGTATTCGTCCGCAATTCGCCGGACGTTGGCGTATCTTCCGGCGAGGAGGTCCCGAGCAGTCTGGTAGGCGTCGTCCGACCACCTCAAATGGCCGACGACGCCCAGGGCCTCCCCCTCCAGTGAGGCTAGGTGGTACGCCATCTTCTGGCTTGGTGTCAAATCCCTCCGGGCGTCCACTAGGCTATCAAAAAGCCCTACAAAAGTCATCCAGTCGGAGAGAACCCCGGAGAACCTTGGCAGGTCCA